TAAATGTATCTGTACATTTTGTGAAATGCAGTTTGACATTTACTTCCTTTGATGCATGTTTGTTTGCAATGACAAAGATGTAAAAAGTTATTTTGTAGGTGACAAAACCGTTGAAATAGCAGTACATAAATAGGATAGTTGATATTTTTCATTGTCCGTTAATAAAGAGACAGCAGGAAAACTGTAGCCTGATGTGATTAAAAATTTGTGTATGCATGTGCAGGCAAACTTTAATACAAATATTGTCTGTTGCCCCGCTTAACCCTTTACTTTCGGACGCTACTATAAATATATATACATACACCGTGCCCTGCTGGGAACTTACGAAAATATCAAATTGTACATGTTACCATGACTATTAGTCGCTCATTGCACAGGTAACAGCCAAAGATGAATAAAGAACTGAATTTTTTTCATCCGTGCACTATCACCTATGGTTATATATTATTTGGTCGAAAGAGCAGTGGTTGGAAGTTTCCGCACAAGAAAGGACCGTTGTTTTGGCGTATGGAAGTTGTGAAACTTGGTAAGTGAACATGGTTATCCGTTTTAATCCTGAAATACTTGCTATGTAGTTCACTGTCAGTAATACCTATTATAATGTCTACAAGACTGTAAATTCATCATGAACAAAGCTTACGGTAAGTCAGTTTACCCGTGTATGTTTTTTATGTGTAATTGTAGACAATGTAAATTGAATACGTATTTCGCGTACATAATATTTTCAGCAAAGATTTTTGAAACATGGAAAATGGAGTTTTAAATGGTTCACAAAATTGCAAGTTCGTACCGCCAAGGAATTAACATTCATAATCCCATCCATGTGCGAAGCATATTTGCCGTGCAAGTTCGTGCCTGCCTCCACATTTTCTTGACTTTTACAGGTAAACGTCCAGGAAAACTTTTTAGATGATGTCAGAGAAGTGTGCGATGGCTTGGGTCATAAATCAGTTTTGGACTTCAAGGAACTGGTTTGATACTATGGGTAGGTAAATTTGAATGGTTGGATAATTACATGTATGCATTTATAACTGATTTATGCAAGTTGGTATGAGTTGTATTGTGGTTGAATACAGGTGTAGGTTAGAAACTGTTTTCAGATCTGGTCTGAATGAGAGCATGATCAAGTGTGCAGTTTCAAACTGATGTTAATCTCCGTGTTCTTTTTTGTGTTTAATTAGAGACTAATTTGTGACTAAGTGGTACTTGTAAAATATTTGTTCAGAATAGTCTTGCAAGGCTACTTGTAGATTTGTCTGATAGAAAGGAATAAAAGACAACCTAAAATTGCCTGCAGTAAGTTTATTACTCTTTACAGTTCTTACTGTATTTGCCTGAAACTGACTAAATTAATTTGTGAAATCAGCTGATGGGCTTTGGAAGTTCATGTTGTTTTCTCCTGTCTGCCATTGAAATTTGTTCATTCCTGTAAAAATACACTTGAAATTTTTACATTTTTGTTGCCACTTTTGTAAATCATAACATTTTTATTACTTGGTTTCGGGGAAACATGGATTTTCATGAAACTAGATTATTGTTTAAAATGAGGGCAATTAGCAATTCAAGATGATCACATCCCTTAAATAAGATTAAATGTCTTTCTGAACCGATACATGGGCTTATGCTCCTGGTTTACCATTGAGCAGAATGTCCATAGCAACGTGGGAGCTGCCCATCATGCAGTATGGTCCTTGTTGCAGTATCGGAGAGCAGCTCTGCCGCTTAGGTAGGTGTGTGGAGGAATGGCATATTCCATGACCTTTCTGTAGTCCATTGGGCGATGATATAAAAGAAAAACCATGCCAGTTACATGAATAATAGCATAATCCTTTTATAAGTATGACTAAATAGAATAACTTGTTGGAAGCAGTGTGGATAATCATGTTGCCTTTGTTCTTGTATATCCTAAATTTTGTTTTGGTAGTGTAAGATTTTGGTGCTTCAGTTTATTGTTTATGTATGAATTGACGTTAAGTTGGATTACAAACTTAAATTATTGGAATTGTTGAATGTTCAGTAGAATAAAGTGTATGACATACAACCATATATTGCAGGTGACTGATTTTTATTCATTCAAAGAAGCGTAATCCTGTTATGTTTGCCTATCCTGTGTTATTTGTTAAACCAAATTATACCATTCATGTATTCATCTGAGCAGTGTTCAGTTATGTAATTTCAGAACTGAGTTAAAGCTTTGAGCTTAAATTTTAAAACAATTTCAGGTGAGACATCATGTTGCATATGATGAAATTTCCACGCCAGACATGTAGAAGTCTGTGGGTGGTTACCTGTATTGGAGCTTGGTAGCATGTCAAGAGTGCATCGAGAGTCATTTGCTGTTGCCAGATGGGTTGTTATGTGGAGGTGAATGAGATTTATTCCATTGGACAAAGCATTCTCACGAGGGATGACGAGGTATGTTCATGTTGCTCTTTATATATCTACTGAAACACTTTGCAGAAGAGGTGTGCTTGATAAATCTGGTGCAGTGGTTGCTGTGAATAAGCTGGTTAAAGGGTTGTTGAATGTTGTAAAATAGCCCTGAAGGAGTTAAAGGTGTGAGATTGACTTCTCAAATTTAGATTGAATTAGGCTGGATTCTAAGATTATGGAACGTCTCGAGACATAACTTCCGGTTTCCGTATTGAAGTTGAATTATAGGCTGTAACAGGATTATCATACTACTGAGATAATTAAGTTCCAAAACATGGTGCTTGAAATTTGGTTTAAACTGGACACTTTTTATTGTAATAATAATCATTTAACAGAGAGGCGTAAGAAACATTCATACTTGCACAGGTATACAGCAGATACCTGGGGCTTGTTCTAAGCATCAGTAGGACATTGTGGTAGTTGAAACAAAGAAGCCTTTTCTGAAGTTCAAGTACTTAGCATTAAATTGGATTATCAACTTAGCTGTGCTGTGTACCATATGTGTTCCTTGAAAAATTGCCTTGTTTCAAGATGCCACATAGAAACTAATGGAAAAATATTATCTTCATTTAATCTTTATGCCTAAGAATGACACTGCAGCCTGTGTAAGCTTTATAAAAATATGATGCTACTTACAAATTAGTGTGTGTCAATGACAAAGAGAACATAGTGAAAATAAATATTTTGTATTGATGTGCTGTCTTTGAATCGCGTGCAGGTTATCATTCTTTAGTGTGAGATGGATCAGGTCAGGCCTAGTTGAACCTGCCATTTTGGTTTCATTTACTTAACTGGCAGCAAATTTGAAAAAGGCAAAGTAAGACACATTACTAATAGTCGTTTTCTGTCATTTGAAATCTCTCATATATCTTACTTGTTTTGAAGTTCTTGGAAATAGACAAAGTATAATTTTTGTCCTTTGGTGGGTTGGGATGTTTTGTCGAGTACAGAATTTACTGTGTGCACAATCAGAGTTTTTCGCTGTTATGAATCACACAGTTCATACGATATTTTGTTTGGAAATTTTCATGGGAAACATCGTGTTTAAAGGAAGCATCATGTTGCCAGGAAACCTTCATCGGATGTTTGAAAGTGAGGCAAAAGAAAATGCATACAAACTTTTACAGTGGAGATGGATTACATTTCTTTGCGATATAAGGGTTTAAAAATTGTTTGTGTTGTTATATGAAGTGTTTCGATTGGAGGTGGAAGTGAGAGTGAAGGAATTTTGGTAGTTTGAGTAGGTGGCATTTTTACCGACCGGGCTACCGTATGCACTACGCACGTCGCCGTTGTATTGGTCAACGATGCATAGAGTGCTGTACAAAACGCACGGTGCTTCGTTTTTCAGTGGAATTTGAGTTACGTGTCTATAGATCGGTTACCAATCTATGTCTATGGGGTGTTGCCAAGTCATGTCTACATATATCTGTAGTGTCAACATTAGCATTGTTATCGCCCTTTTCTTGTGAATCAGTTCCTCAAGAATTAATTATGATCATCGTGAGATTCCTCCTGGCAAGTCTAGTTTCTCAGTATTATTTAAATCTGAGCAGACGTCTGTACCAAGCGGCCTAGTACACACTACCAAACAAGTTTCATCCGGGTGTGTGGACTGTTTGCGGACAATCCGCAAATAAATATTTCGTGTTTTTTGTTTCGCTTTGGAAATGGACCGCCAATGCAAGTGCTCATTATGTGGACAAGTGAGAATACGTTGAAGCTTATTGAAGACTTGCATTCTTTGCCATGTCTGTGGGATGTGCAGTCAGCGGAGTATAAAAACCGAAACAAAAAAATTGACGCATACGATACTCTGGCTAGCAAATACAGTGTTAGTGTAATGCAAGTAGAGAAGAAAATTCAGGCGTTGAAAACGCAATTTCGTAGGGAACACAGGAAATTGGTTTCCAAGACTTGCGGTGGTTCTCGGAAAAAGGCTGCTTGGTTTGGGTATGAGCAGTTGCTGTTTTTGCTTCAAGGAAATGAATCCAAAATCAGTCGAAGTACAGATAATGCATACGTACAGATCGAAGTAAGTTTCAGATACAAAGAATTGCTTTTCTGTGCTTCAGCAGTGTGGACAAGTTTTATGCATTGTGTATTGCAATGAAACTGTTGCCTTGGTAGAAATAAAGTATTCCCGAAACTCGTATGCTTGGTACATTCTGCAAATTTAGAAACTGAAAACAGTTTCAATTTCTTATTTCTAAGTTCCTCGGTTCACTGTTACTTAATCTATCAGAAGGTGAATAGCAATTTATTGAGAAAAATTTCCGAGGTTGACATACATTTTCAGAAAAATTCTTTGTTGAGTTGCAAGGCGACAGGTTCAAAAAGGAAATTCCGAATTTATCTGATTGGATACCAAGTGTCTGCATAAAACTCGTTACACTGCACATCTACTACTGCAAATAGTACCATACTAAAAGTCCCTTCTATTTACTTCCACTGTTTTGGGGTGTGCTGTATTTGTGCATGGTGTTTAAGCAATGAGGAAAATTTAACTTGCTAGTGAATCTCTTCACTATTTAACCCAATTGTTCCTCTAATATATGCATCAGAAGCATATTAAAAAAATGTATTGTGCAATTCCAATTTTGTAAAGTTGTGTGTGGGAAATACTCATACCAAATTGATTTACAGGAAGAGAATGCCCATCAATTATCATACAGTGATCCTGAAAGCAACTTTCAAACAGACTGTCATGAACGAGAGGAAAAATCAGATAAGACTTTGAATTTTCGAATCCCTGCACCTAAGCGTAGTAAGAAAATTACAAATGAAGATGGCAGTGTGCAGGAAGCATTACAGTGTATGAATGCTTTGATTGAAAGAATTTCAAAACGTGATGACCACTCTGTGTATGGGGAGCATGTTGGGAACAAACTGCGGAACTGTGGCAGAAGTATCTTCGAAATTTCAATAGCCCAGCACCACATTGACGAGATATTATTTAATTTGACGATGGGTGCATACGGTCAGCATCCCTATTCAAGTACCTATGGCACACATGCACATTTACCTTTGACGATTACTACTGGTCAACAGAACTGCACTTACAGTGATCCGTCTTCCTCCAGTTCTTCACATAGTCCATCCAGTCCTTCTCGCCATTCAGACTCGGTCCCTCCTACGTCCATAATTCTCCCCTCTTCTGATACACCTCACCATTCTCAGTCAGTAAAAGAAAATGGTATTTCTCACCCATAGAAAATTGTGTTTTGAAAATTTGTAATTTTTATTGTGTTTTACAAAATAAAGTGATGCAATAAAACTGTAATAAGCTGCATTTGTTTTAATACGTAGATGGAAGCTTTGAACTCTCTGATGAGTGGAATGTCTGGATGCGAAACGTTGTTTGCCGATAGTCCGCAAACACTTTGGTAGTGTGTATTGGTCTTCAACTAGTTTATTGTACTAATTTCCCTTTTTTTTAGTAGCATTCAAGGTCAGATTTAGATATACTGGGGCTTGGATAGTTCTTTAACATTCATTTAGCAGGAATTTGAATGCTTATGTCAAGTGGCTTCTTGTAAGTTACATCCATAAGAAATTAACCAGTTGGATTACAATGGAGTATGATCCATAAGCTGTTTTGGTGATGTGGTGGTTAACCTGCAACATTTGTGTCCATAGGGGACCAGGTATGATTCCAATAGTCACTAGTAATATTAAATAAGTACAGTTATTACATGTGTGAAAATAATGAGAAGACAGCCATGTTTATGGTATCCTGATTACCTAGAATGTTGAAAGAAAACTTTCTGAAGCATAATTTTCAGCAGCGGATAGACGATTTGTGTCCTTTGGCCCGGAAACAAGTAGAAAATGTGCTAAAAGAGTTATTATTTTAAGAACACAATATGAAGAATTTGATTCTATCGTAAGTTAAGAAAACCGTACTTTCTGTTCAAAGTTTTATAACACAAGGTATAGGAAACGTGATATGTTGCACTTCTGGTAACACATTTGGTCATGGACGTTTCGCTAATGTGCCGCGGTGTTTCCCCATAGTTATAGCTTCTCAGAAAGGACTCAGCTGCTTGCAAACAAAAATTTTTTCCGTTGCAATTTCAACGCTGATATAGAAGAAAGTCTTGCGCGTTCAGGATACGCTATAAACCAAAAAGGAAGTGTGACGTCAGTAACCAATGTCTCGGGTTTTCCCTCAGCTCTGCGTTGCTCTGCAAACGAATATTTGCTCATATTGCCAGAGGCCATTCCCAAGTATCGTGCTTCACTTGTGATCGGCAAGTTTGTGACAACACTTCCACTTCAGTTGACAGTAATCGTATTGAACATTTTATAAAGTGGTTATTAGTGTTTTTCGGTCAAGAGTGAAGTGTCGCTTTGTTCTTAAAAAAAACTCAACATGATCTTGCAGGTATGTTGTGTTCACTGGTATTTTCGGTCCATAGGTTATTTCGGTGCGGTATCACTTCATCCACCATTTGCTATTTTTCTTTTTTCGCTGAAAGATCACACGTGTTAATCTTTGTTTATTAATGGCTTCAAATTCCACTCTTGTGCATTGGCTTTTTATGACTGTTACGAAATGAAGCAAATACAAACTGAAACATGAACTTAGTCGTAATTGTAGATTCAGTGTAGGCATCGTATTTTCGTTGGAGCGACAGAACCATGCCAGAATTAATGACGTTGCTCGGGTGAGGGGGGAGGTTATCTTTTGTAAGAAAGCCAGTATTTTAATCATCCATCCTCAGATATGTTTTGTTTCTTGGAGGATTCGTTGAGAAATGTGAATAATTGTGGCAGCCATTATCTGTGCTTTAGGTAGAAGTCAGTTGTTTGTCTACGAAGCCAAGCTGCTGAATGACCTTGCCACTTGTATTATTACGTTCTAACCTTTGTGTTCCTTTGTGTTGACGTTTAAAAGCCTGATGTAATTGAACTGGATTGGCTATAAAGCATAACAATGCAGTGTATGTAACAAATGATACTTTCTATGGAATATTAATTAGAATGAACCATGGCTTAGTTATTTAGTATTGCGTGTGGACAATGCTTTAAAATGAACAATACGATGTCTTGAAGAACGAAAATACTGCACATAAAGAAGAACATTTTTTGTCAAAGCACAAAATAAAATCATGTCTTGATTCCTACAAGCTGATGGAAATCGAAGTACGTATTTTATTCTATAATTCTGCCAATTTGCATACGTGGTCTACATTAGAACAATCGCATTATTGTATGCCACAAATATATTTTGAAATACACTCTGAAGTAGGTTCCTTATTTTGACTCAAGTTCGACTTGGTATTAAAACGTAATACTTTATCGTCTCTTCTAATTATTCGCCACAATTAAAAGTGAAATGCAGTTTGAAGATTCCTAAAATACATTCTTGGCTGGATAATTTTATAAATGCACCATTAATTGTTTTCTCTTCACAGATTAGCAACTTGGCAGTAGTATTTGTACTTATTCTGCCATCTGGAATCTGTGGGCAATTTTCCGGGCATCCAGGTGCCATTAAGACTTCTAATGCCAGTCACTATTTGCTGGAAAGAAATACGATGTCAACCACCAATGTTCAAGAGTTATTAAGTTCATCAGTCCTACCAACCAACAGTGAAAATGAAACTGAGCTTTATGGCATTGTTAACAATGTAACAAAGGATTCTGCAGACGTGGATGAGGCATTTCAGAGATTTCTTCTTGTTAAGAAGTATATGGATCCCCTAATCATGGGAATTATTTTCATTTTCGGAGCTGTAGCTAATATTACTCTTCTTGTGATATTGGTACGACACGAAGAAATGCGGACTTGGACGAACGCGTGTATTTTCACGATGGCTACAGGCGACCTCTTGTCTGTTATTGTTAATATCCCACTGTTCTATGCTCTTTTGACGTCCAGGTATTGGACTGTTGGCGTAGTCCTTTGCAAATTAATGTGGTTTTTCAGCGATTTTGCAGTTGGCCTGAGCATTTTCGCGGTAACAATGCTTAGTGTTCAGCGATATTGCGGTATAGTTAACACTAACATATATATTTACAGCGGCCGTCTTGCGTTAAAATCACGCGTGGTATCTGCGTTTAATATACTGCTTATTTGGGTTTTGTCATTTGGTTTTGCTATCCGAACAGTCATTACAACAGACGTTACGGATAATATATGTTCCTCCGTTTCGGCATCGTATGGTTCTGATTTCTCGAAGAACATCGCATTACTTAACCTCTTCATGTTTTGTATTATTCCATTGTCTGTGATCGCTGTGTTCTATGGACTAACTGCTCGTTATTTGGTTGAGAGTGCTCGAAATATGCCAGGAGAAACGTCGGATAATATTCAAAAAATAATTTACGCTCGAAAGAAAGGTGCTAAGACCGTTCTTGCACTCACTGGTGTTTTCTTTGTAAGTTATATGCCTTGGTATTTGTGGCAGGTTGTGTTCTTCTGGGGAAATTTTAGCAGTGACTACAAGGTCACTGCAATCACTTATACTTTCTTGTATTATTTATTCTTTGGAAATTTGTGTTTCAATCCGATTGCACTTTATTGTGTGAGCAGTGCCTTCAGAAAGTATTTCAATCGGTACTTGTTTTGTTACCGTAAAGTAAAGGAAGAACAGGAGACAACTTTGGTGAAAAGTAAGTCTACTTGTTTGACGTACTTGACAAACACAGAAACTCGATAGTCTGATGACTGTTTCAGAAGATGGCTCTCAATTTTTGTTATTGGCTTGCGTGACAATATTGATTACACGCAATGCGTAACAAATGAATGTGGTCGTGCCCTGCTGATGAAATGTTGATCTCATGCTGTTAGCTTCACTGGCCATCTAGATAAATTCCCACGGCTTGTACTCATTTCACGTTTTATTTTAGGGCGCAGGCAACAGATGGCGCGGTAGGACATACAGCGACTCAATTGAACAGTCGGTGCAAGTATAGTTCCGTCTAGTAGGCGAGCCTTTGTTTATCTCACTAAGGTATAGTCGGCGCAGTGGTTTTTGGCCGGTGGAGGAGCTGGCAGACGGGCCTACTCTGTGTACCTGAGATGGCACGGCCAGTGCATTTCTTTTGTTTGGGCGTTCAGTCAGACAAGCTCCTCGGTGCAGTCAGCATTATACCATCGCAAAAGAGACTCGCTCCTAGCCTTCCCCTTGAAAATTCCACCGGCCAAAAACTACTGCGCCGACTATAATGACATTTTATGTGGAAGCATCCGTAGCTCGGTCACTGAAGAGATCGTTCAAGGACTGGATGGCTAATGTTAAATTCCTGGCAGAAGTGTTAACTTATCTGTTCATCAGTACATAAATAATATATGCTGTTGATTACCTTTTTTGAATAAATCGCAAATGAATTAAAATGCTTTGTTTATTTTTACCTGGAGTAAATCTGTGATGAAAGTGTGGAGCTTCACATCCATGCTTCCACACTCTATGACAGAGATCGAAGCCCATTTTCCATTTGCAGCCTCACGCAAATGGCCGCACGTTGAGTAAGCCGTGAAGCCGAGAAGTCATTATTGTAGAAGGAGTACTCGCTGACATTTTGGTAAATAGATTTGAACAAGAACTCGGATTATGAAAATTTGGCTTGTCTTATTTTGGTAGAGAGATGAGGAAAAATCTTGTTATAATAATCAGTTTTAAGTAGTGACTAAGATAAATGTAACTTAAATGTGTTTTATTATATCTCGCTTGTTGAACTTATCCACGAACTTGATACCAGTCTATTTTTATTGAATACTTCAAGCAGATTGGCTTGATCCTTATTTCTGTAAATATATTTAATACTTTGGGTAATGTTCATTAATTTATGCAGGATTTATAAAAATATTACAGAAGTTATGTGCTTTATGGGATTTGCAGTTGCAAATACGATGCTGTCACTCTGCCCCACGATGTATTATCTCAGCGTGGTTACCCTGGGGGGACGTTCCAAATGCATGTTGAAAAGATTCTGTATGAAGGCGCCAGAAATCTTTTACGCGTGTGCAAAATGTTTGGGAAGTGACTGCTCGCTGTTTTCTACTACTTCAACGTTCCTCTCACGATCCATGAAAGCAGAATGTATGTGAGTAAGCCGTAGTATAATTATAATTAGACTTAATATGCTCTGTAGTAAGCGCACGGAGAATTGGATTCGAAGGTCCAGAAACTTACTTTGATTTGCCATAAAATATTCTGTGTTCGTGTTAATATCGACCATCATACACACAAAAAGCAACAGAGTTTATAAAATTTTATTCGTATATTTCAGGCATAATTCCATCTTGAAGTTATTTTTTACAGGAATACAGTAATTCTAAACGTAACATCAATCTAAGCGGTACATATAGCAGTTTACAGTATTTACTGCTTACATTATTTTTTTTTTGCTAAGGCCGTTGTGGTGTTTTATTTAATATGTGCATTAATTAATGTGGTACACAAATCCTTTGAACCATTAGTCAAAATGTAGGGATATTCCGAAATTAGTTTGTATGGAGTTGTGGTTAAAAAGTTACGTATCGCAGTGATTTTTCTTCAAAAGGTTGATACATGTGCCAGTGTTGCACACATCAAAGGTCGGTTTGTTTCTTTAATTTCTCAGAACGTACGTGAGTGAGTAATTAATTCTTGTGCGGATACGTTCCAAAACCTCTGTTAATTCCACAATTCGACGTGTGTCGGGCTGAAGGACACTGGCGCAAGACGAATATTTCGGGAAAAATATTTGTCCCCAAGACTGGTCGTGGAAGAGATTTTGGTCATTTGTAGCATCGTTACGGGCGGTTAAAGGATTTACGTAATAATAGAACGAAATCTAATTTCGTTCTTGGATAGCAATAATCTTGAAGCTGAATCACTGATACATTTAGGTTCAGTAATAGAATTCGTTCAAGCTTTTTAAAACAAAGCCTTTCTACTGAGGTACAGTTACGTTTTATAAATTTGAAACATTGTGCAGCGTCACGTTATTATTATTATTATTACAAATTATACGCGTGGCGCATCATCAGATCGAAGTATCCGTCGTCATCGATACTAGCGCTCAAACCGGCGTAGTAGTTCACGAATTCCTCCTCAGTCACCTGTAACAAAAAAGATTCATCATATCTCATTGCGTTATTTATGGAGTTAATACACAGCGTAATGTTCGTCTCCAAGTTTCATTCCAGAATTTATCAACAGATTTACATTAATTTATTAATTCCTGGTTTATTTAACGGTGGATAGAGGAACTTAGCGTCCGATGATAGAGTGATTCGTTAATCTGCCTTTGAAGGAAAATATTAAAAGCGTGTTTCATATACGGTTCGACGTTTACGTGGTCTACCAATGTGTCGTCTTCCTCGCCGATAGTACTTCAGAATGTATTTTAAAATTCCTTTTCAGCTCTCTGTCAGGATGTTCTGTCTACTTCTGTGTGAATTTATTTTGTCTCGTAACAATTATTCGTGATTGCATCTTTGACACTTATTAAAATTGCGTCTAAGATTGTATCCTATTCTAAAAGTTATTGTGGCTGGAAGTCTAGTTCTCTCAGACGCCGTTGCAACAGAGTAGGTCGTTGTTCATGGACCGCATTTGTACGCAGTGACTTACTTTCTCTTCGTCGGATTATTAATCTGCATCAAGGTCAACAGCATTGGTTAAAGTGGAATACAGAGCCCAGCTATTGATCTCGAGGAGCGCGTCATGAACACGAGACAGTGGGTCATACGGTTGCTTCATTGCGAAGTCTACCGCATTCTCGTGCTGTTAAGACGTTTCTGCATGGTCGTAAATAAATGTTCTACAGCTATCCGATTATAATCTCGGCCTTGTTACGTGTTTTCTCCTTAATGAGGTTTGTCGTGGCATTTCCTAGTATGTATTATACAAACAGACCACGAAAATTTCCTTCAGAATATCCTTATCCTTATATTTTAATGGTTCTGCACTTGAAACAGCATTGATAAGTAATTAAAGGGAAAAAAATGCATGAATTAGAGTCGTTCATTACAAGCCAGTGAAGGAATTTCGCGTCGTTTATAGAACTCGAAGGTTAATTACCGTGTTCACCTGTCTCTATCCTGAAATTTGTATCTCGCAATTTTGACGCAATCTGAACCTGTGACATTGTAAAATGTGCCCAGAAATTGTACAATACTTATTTCTTAATAATCTCACTGTCTTAGTGAAGAATTTGTCGGCAAGTAGGCATAACAAATTCTTTCCAGAATTTATTTTTAATTTCTGATTGTATTCAAATTATCGACATTCACGAATAAGAAGTGTAGTTTAATCGATTCGAAACACATTAACCAACAACCGAGGAAACGTTTGTTAATGTAACCAAGTAGAATTCCCGACGACGCTACTGTACCTTGCCATCCCCGGCAGTTCCTCCCCTCTCGAAATTACTCAGGAATTTGTTGAGGATTTGTTCTTCTGTTTCCTCGCCGCTGATGTACCGCGGGTGGTTTTTCACCGAGTACACGCCTCTGAGGTCGTCGAGCAGAATGACACCGTCTCCTGTCTTGTCCATCTTCTTGAAAGCATCGTTGATCACTTTAAGACGCGACGCTGACATCGGCGGCTGTATCAGACATTATAATGAGGTTATAAGCACTCTCGGATGACAGCGTTAACATTGCAAATTGCGTAGAAAGTACGGAATTCGTAAAATTTTCTTTATAAAGTAAATTACACGTGAAAACATCTCCATGGCGACAGATTTCTCCCGAACCAGTCAACAGAATCCAGACTCTCCGAAGCAAACACTTCAGTCTTGGGATTATTGAGACTTACCCTGATCGCGACCAGGAACTCGTCCATATTTACACTTCCACTGCCGTCTGTGTCGAAACGGGTGAAGAGTTCTTGGATCTCCTCATCCGTGAGTTCGATGCCCGCCTCCTTCATCCCTTCAGTGAACTCTGCCTGGTTCAACGCCTTGCTACCGTCATCGTCCATGTTACGAAAGAACCTGAAGACAGTTCAGAATTATGAATGCAGTACGGCGCGATCCTCGAGTCATCAGGTCGCAGCCAGGTGATTTTAAAGTTTTCGCAGACAATTTTACAAATTTATTTTTGGAAAGGTCCTTCTTGGGTCCTCGGACTAAGACTCCTCTATTAAACGTGTTAGCCGTTTAAACCCGGCTAACACTGGAAACAATATCCCTCTATCTTACTTTCGTGGCTGTGTATTCCATACTCTAGAATACACCAGAAGCCATGAGTTAAAACGCGTTGTAGGCTAGCTAGTAGAGACTTTCGTTCGCATTTCTTATCCAGGTTTTATAAAGAATACTTTTTATGGCGTTCTAGACATTTTAGGGAATTTTGACACGTGTTCCCCCTGTAAATGTCAGTTGTTTATAACGAGACGATTTCGAAAAAGTGAATGCAATAGGACCAAGCCTTCGAAACTGAATTAAAAATAAATAATTCAACTATACAGACCTGCTCAGGTAATCGGCTGTCCTCCTTCGCCTTGGCTTATGTAACTGTAGGCCCAATGAAACGTCATATTTTTACTCTAAAATCGATAACTATTACTCTCGGCAATCAATATCAAACGTGGCTAGCGGAGATCAATAGTTTTGTACATGTATCCATGGAGACGAAGTATGAAACAGAAGTAGGTCGGGCTTTTCTCTGGAATGAACATTCTGAAGACACATTTGGTTCTGGTCCCATAATTTTGAATAGGAAGGCTCTCTTAAGGAAACTGATTTTCCTGCTTACTTGCAGCTACGAATATAATTTTAATTAATTTTAATTCTTTATTTTAAAGACTCGACAGCTACACGAGCCAATAATAATAATTATTATTATTTGTCAGGCCCACGTTATGTGGAATTGAACCCGTTGAATGAAGGATGTAATTAGGCGAAGTTTTTAATGACGTTAGATTGTTACTCAGAGCCACCTGGTGGAATTTTTTTTCATATTTGTAACTTTGATAAGTTGCGCACTGAATTATCACGTATTGTGTAGTAGGAAGCGGATGTTGACAAACCTCAAGTGATTACAGCGTGAGATATATAAAAAAAATTACAATCCATTTCCTGCACATATCGATATACATGTTTGGTTTTCCCAGTCTGTATGGATTTATTTGGTTTTCAGAAGTCACGTGTTTTTTCCGCAAGCCATGATTTAAGTTATGTAACGACCAGAGATTAAGTGACTTGTCTCGTGACTCGTGCGTCACTTGGGGTGTGTATGCGTGCACAGGGACTTTTGAATAATAAATATATTGTTCAAAATTGATAGCGGTTTCCAGGCACGGATGACAGCATAGCCATGACTTCGAATCCCATCAGAGACTGTGCGTATTCGTTATCAAAAACAATTTTAGTCAGATCATTTTGAGATTTGAATTTCTCGTGCGGATAAAGATGTCTTATTTTGGTCTTATGATTGTTGTGAACCCCGGAATGATGATATTCACGCACAACACTACACATTGTTACAGCCCAAAAGACCACGATTAATATTTATTCAAAAATTTAACCACGTTTTTCCCCTGACATTTTCTTCGATTTCGCATAAACCCCAGACGTAACATGGTAATGCCACTTACCGACCGAGCCCAAGGATGCCGGTGGCGCCCCTGGACAGACAGAGGTGACGTAGCTTTTCCAGAGGTTCCTTTGCCATCCCGACTTGTCGCTTCGACTTGTTGATCAGTTCTGTCTCCTGCATCGTGGCAGCCGACTGGGGGCGGTACATACCTGAAGCGCACAAGGTCACACTCGTTACGTCACGAACCTAATTTGGCTGGAACTATGAAACATGGTTATGGGAGCAACTGAGCTTGTTTCCTGGACAAGATGAGTCATAACAGACTCATCGTGTCTAAGAACCGAGATTTTCCTTCCAACTTCCACTGTAGAAGCGATGATGCATTCGTGGGTAATGTCCCATATTTTGTAATTTTCCTTTTACCAAAATTTGTGCATGTCGACAAATGTTAGTAGAATTTCTGAATATTAAATTTCGTGAAAGTCCGTTAGATATGGAAGAGGTGAGAAATGCAAACAAAATTTTGGCCGTAATGATGATGATATCATTTTTATTAGAACAGGGTTGCCAACCTATATGCCCACAGCGGAATGCAACTCGCATCGTTGCTTCCTCTCGTTCTCCATAAATGTATGTCGTGACGCATGGCGTATTGATCCGGTAGTGTTTTCTGAGAATCTAAGATAAAATCTGCAGCAACCATAAAGTTAATTTCTATAAGGTATATAAAAAGTAATGACACTGTTTAGAGTTATCGATAACTAAGCGATAATGGTCTCAATCCCATTAGCACTGCCGACGGATTATAATGTATTTTAGTCACGGAATCATCTGCTCACAGTTATTCTAGTTTAAGCTGTTCGCGATTTCCCCACAAGCGGGGGGTTTCTTCAACAAATATCACGGGATTCATGGTGAAACTTAAAAAAAAATGTTTGTTTTCCTTCGCGAGAGCTCGGCGGAAAAGTCTCCCGTCAAGTCAGGCCGACACATAACGCATAAAAGGAAGTTTGTTTTACGGTTGCGCTGGCTAGAAAATGTATTATATTGAACCGAAAAATGAAATACTACGCGAACATAGGGAAGAATTTAGCACGATACATGTCCGAGGCGGTGCAAATGTGTCAAAGTTACCTCGAAGCCCGTTTCACGAATATTTAGTACTTTGTAAAACAGTTGTTTCATTGTTCGCGTCAAATATTGGCACGTATTGCATAATTGTACTACAAATTCACTCACTTCATACATTTTGCGAACATTTTAACATTTCATAACGTGAAAGTGAAGTGACCCGGGAAATAGAAATCTTTACGAAGTGAAATATTGAACTCTTCTCTCTCCTCTAGGTTAAAACAAATCACTTGAACGAGTTCAATCAATGAAGTGATGACGATAAAAGATGTGGGACAGACGTGTCTCTGTGTGTGCACATTCATTGGCCTTCATGATTGTGGATCACGATTATAACATCGCATGATCTCAACACTTTAAATGGATTCACGTCCAATCCATTCAATTATCTAAACAATGAAATGCACGGAATAAAAGCAACATATTACTTTCTCTGAACAGTCTTATCTGTTACTGTCTCTACATGAATTAATCAAATTCTACTGAAAACTACTTGGAAAAAATAATATGCCTACCAAATACAACTGACATTTCACCGAGCCCGTTTTTATTTAGCCACGCTCACTGTTACACTCTGGAAGACCTATAACCACTTGTTAAACATATCCTTTCTTCACAGAAATGATATAAAAATTATCATACTTGTATCTTTCTTTTAAGTAACACGCCACACATTAAACTTGTACAAACACCAAACTCCCCAGCTTACCGTTGTGGATCGTAATTTTAAGTCGACACAGACAATTTCAGTGACTAAAAATGTGTAAAACGTATTTCTTTTCCGTGTGGTTAACACTTTATTGATGCAGATGTCTTGACTCTGGCGTGTGCTCTACGAATGTCATTATAAAGTAACTTTAACCTCACTTGATCGCGTGCAGGTTTTCGCCTTTCGCTCTTATCACGCCAAGTGGCTAGCTTCGCCCGCAAATATATTTCTGTGTATGGGGGCTCTGGCCCTCGCGTCGTCGCACTTAAGTTCTGCTAAAGACAAGGCCAAGACTCCACCATTGTACCCTCTTGTAATTCTATTGAAGACGAAAACGTATTATTGGTTGAAGATGGATGTCTTCTGGGTTGTTTTACCGTGTATTCTAATGCAAGTTTACCGACGTTTTAGAAGACTGCCTTCATCAAATGGATGACCTGATGATGGCGACAGCAGACACCTCTGAAACGTCGGTAAACGTCTACCAGATCACACGTCACAACAACTCAGAAGACAGCCATCTTCATATTTGCTGCCGTGGGGAATGAATCACTTTAGGATATCCAGAGTTCTGGCCCTAACGCAAATCGGCGATCTCTAGACTCTGTGGGGGTAATTTGATTCTGCTTTCGTGGGTTATAATTTTTGGCCTCACTCTCTGGTACAGGATATTCTTTGAAAAGTCGATTGTATACTCGGCTTGTCAAAGAATATCCGACTTTCTTTATGGAACCCGAAGGTTCATCAACGTATTCACAAATTCCCGCCACCTTTCTCTATCCTGAGCTAGTTGCATCCAGTTGCTCTATCGATTCCTATTTCCCGAAGGACCTTCTAAACGCCTACGTCTTCCCAGCGGCATCCTCTAACTCACGTTTAATTCCATAACAGTTAATATACACGACAAGTTTCTTGAATGGGGAATAATTCCATTGCAAGACTTAACAATTACAGGTAAATCATGGATGTACACTGATGCTTCAAACGGTATTCGAACCCGCTATCTTGATAATATGCGGATAGCATAACGTCCCCCGTCCTCTTCAAGCTGCTACAAACGCACCACGTATCGATTTTGTTGCCAGATACAGTTGAGCTTTCCTTAAATAGACGGGCCCACTGCCTCGCCTGAAGATAAGAGTTCGTTGTCATTCTCAGAATGAATTATTAACTGCGAGTTCGCGTGCTTGTTGAGTGGATGGGCTGTAATTACGCATACGAAAATTATGGATTATATCGACAATATTAATGTAGCATCAAGTCGTATTGAACTCGTAACGCGTTTTATTTTCCTTTAAAACCCACTGGTAACTATGTGTACCACCTGATTTTAACTGTTAGTAACTCCTTACTTTGTCCAGCATGGTTATGAGTTTTGATTTTTAGAGTCAGCTTCTTGAAGTAGCAGTTTTTTCTTTGTCATCATATTTTGTTGAAATGCTGGCCAAAAGGAACAGTAGAGTTTCACTTATGTTCTTGACTTTTCAGTGACTTCGATAAAGTAGGCTTTGGAACAGCTTCTGGTGAAAACTTACCACACATTTATAAACAGAAGGGCAGCATTCAGAGGTCAGTTAACAGATTATTGTCTACAACCTGCAATAAGTGCACAAGGATTCAGGAAGACAGAATGTAAAATAAATATGGTCATATCAAGATTCTGTACCAGGATTTCAGAATTATTAATTGCGATGTGTGAAGTATTGCAGGGAGAAGCGAAGTTAAGGGCGAGGGGGGGAGGTGGGAGGTAGGTCGAAAAGCAATCAAACGTACCGATTGGGTTACCGATTCCACCAGCATCGTCCCATTATGTTGTACTTTCCGTGCCACAAAGATGGCAGCACCGAACCTACGACGATACTAAAATTTTATGTCGTAACCGATTCTGCCAACATTTCAATTTTGGTTGGTAGAGACCCGGATATTAAGTGTGTATTTGAAAGAATCCGAGAGTTTACTACAGTTCTCAATGTTATGAGTTGTTTGGTTTATGTATGTTAATTGAACACAATTTCCTCTCTTTCAACATATTTCCGCAGAATCTTGAACCAGTAAGTTGTCTAGCATGTAATATGAGCATGGAGGTAATCCTGTTGAGGTTAGCAATCAAGGCGCAGCCGTATAAACAGAATTTGTTGCCATGTAATTTGTTTAGATTTCAAAGATCCTTCTCAGTCCAAAGCTGGAGATGCGGAACATGTCGTATACACTTGATACAGATATAAATTCATAGTCTGTTGTTATATCCACAGATGACGTAAGGATGTATTACGTAGAGCAAAGCAATTAGAGCAAAGAAATATGTTCATGTGTTTACTTTATCTAAGAATTTACAGCTAAAGTAAATTATACTTCGGAGTAGGGGTGAGATAATGCCGGATTAAGGACTTATTATGACGATTTAACCTTTCATTGAAGATAAATGGACGATAATATTCTTGTATAGGTATAGTCCATTAATTTTTTATTTCCAGTAAGGTTAGTAATAGGCGTACGTGGAGGTAACGTGAATGACGTGTTTCTACTGTGTAGGTATTAATTTCTTTGATAAAATAGGATTATGGCCGCAGTGAATAACAGCAAAAATCTATGAAACAAATGCTTTGTCATTTTAACAGCTGTTACATGGCGTTTGGTTGAGCTCCGTCCTAGACGTGTATTTGAAACAAGTTTCGATATTGTGAATATTTAAGGAAATGAAAGGAAAAGCAATTTCCTGCTTTACAGTGCAATATCTATAATGCGATTAACTTCGAGAGAATCGATTTTTGTCTACAATAAATTAACAAATCAATTGAGGAATACAGAATTGCCGAGAATAACTCTTACCAGTTTCTGCTGTTCTGTAGATGATGTACTGACGTGGTAACGCCATGAAATAGCAAACAGTTAGTGCAGTTCGTTTAGATAGTGAATTGTTAATTGTGGTAAAGTGTGTGTGATTATTGTTTTCGTGGGAAGATCACATTAATGACGGTATGTATTTATTTATTTTACTGGTATTATTTTATAGATATTTGAAACACATTCTCAAGTGTCCCTTGAGAACATGAACCGAGCATGTCACAGATGTGAGACACGAAGTGGGCCTAGGCCTGCTTATGGAACAAATTTGTATACACAAACAGTGGAAGCCGTGGAATGTAGACGATATGTAAGAAGCATCATACAAGTCAGAGGAGTCTAAATGGGGTTGCTTAAAACTAATAGATTGAATGTTCTACTTGAGCAACAACGTTCGGACTGGAAATATCAGAATTGCCTTAATGAGAAACTAGCAAAACTGATCTCTGTAGGAAAACTGTTTTGTTTTTATTTTATTTTCAGGCTTTCCAAGGTGTTCCATACTCGTGCCCCACTTTTGTTGTTCTGATAGTGACATTTTAATAAGATTTTAGCGACAATTCGGTATTGTAACGAAGAAAAAACTAGGGTAAATGTATTTATACGTGTATTTCTTTAACAAGCAGGATGCTTACTTTCGATAATATTGTATGTTTATATTTATTGCTGTGTGAGAACGTGCCGATAATATTCTCGAATATTTTGGTTAATAAGTTTCCTGCAGTACTACTTTTCTATCGAGAGAAGTGTACCAAGGATGCGTTCACACAGTTTTGTTGTTTGGAATCTAATTAGTAAAGCATACACGAGTGCAGCAAAGCTCTTAAGTGATTATAAAGCGTAACATTTTGCATCAGGAAGTGTCCTGCTTTCTCGTTTTATAATGAAGTGAAACCAAGGTTTGGTTTGAAATCCTAAAAGTAATAAGAGAAATTAATTAAAGTGAAAATGTCCATGTTCTCCGATTTTAAAGCACTGAATACATCGTATGTAGTAGGTCTGGCCGTTGTGTTTTTCGTACGTCATTGGTTTCAGTGTTCGTTTGCAGCTAAAATTTCTCAAACTAACTTAATCTCAGTGTGTTAGACCCGTATTATAATTTAAAAGAAGCTTTCATCTTGTCATAATGGGCGTGTTCGAGATGGTATATTATCTTCGAGTGTAACAGTGACAGAGGCAGGACGAAATCTTAGTTTTAAAACTATCAGTTGGCTGCAAGTAGACTTGCACTCCTTCCTACACTATATCATCCACTTTTTCAGTGCTTGTGAAACGTCTAATAACCACATAGCCTACGGCATTTGTGGTGTAAAGTTTGGATATGAAGTTGTTGGGTATCCCTGATATAAATGCTCAGAGCTGAAAATGTTTCAACGGTCATTAATTAAGAACAAACAAAATGCTTTCTCGCTGTCAGGGGATAATTTCATTATTTAAATTCGAAACATTTCAACCTGGAGCGCGTCGCAGTTGTCACAGAGTCCCCAGTTGACGCGGTTTTGAAACCATCTGGAAAAGCTGTTAAGGGATGCAGGTGTTTGGCAGGGGTGGGAAAAATCCTTTATCGACAACAGCGGAAGAGAGAAAAATACGAACTTTAGGAGATAAGACTTAGGATGGTAGAAATATCGGATAGAACGAGAAATGAAGACAAAGGAAAGAATATTTAAAAATGTAAGACTTGAGGTTCTCACAGCGGTGAATATGAAGATTTCTGTCTTCTGGGTTATTGCGCTGTGTAGTCTGGTCGATGTTAATCTTAATATTTAAAAATGATTTTTATTTTTTTTGTCCATCGTCTAAATTACAAATATTAAAAAAAACTTTTCGTTTGCAGGTAAAAAGGAGAAAAAGGAGAGAGAAACCCTATCTGTTGGTTTAGCTAGCCTCAGACGCAGGGTCCCATATCTTTTTTAAGTGCGATATTTGTGAGTTTGTGTCTCATTGGTCCTTGTTTTAATTTATTACAAATAGGCTTTGTTGCATAGCTGATCGTACAACATAGATTATTTTTGTTGTATTACGGGATCTACCTATACAAAAATGTTTCAAATAGATCTCGATGTTGTAGAAGTTAATGATATCTTTATGTTTGAGTGTATTTATGGGTATGTATGGGTTTCGTATGATTTTCAGTAAAACAGCTATTCTTTTTCTTAAACAGTATTAACCAATTTGGTCTTTGTAATGGAGTAGCATTGTTTCTTCGAGGTATATACAGTTCTAAGTCTTATTAAGACGAGTTTCAGCTTCAAAGGAATAAATAATAAATTTACATTAAAATGTATTTATTGCTTGTATAAGTATGTCACTGGTGCCAGGTTATAAGCATGTAAGTTCAAACAAACAATTATAATCGTCACTTTACAGCCTGTATTTCACATTACCTGTAATTTAATAAAACCATCACATAAGCAATAAGTTTATGTGTAAAACCAATTCTAAAGGGTTTTGACGACGGTAGTTTACACTTAAAATTATTTGTTGTCAGGACTTTTCCCATCGTCTGTTTTTAAAATTCACAACGTTTCGGAGGTTGGTTCTGTCTCCGTCTTCAGGTGAGAGGTACCTACTATGTTGGGTCCCTTAGAAAGATCTAGTATCCATCACTGGTCACTGTAAACTGTTTAATCATATTTGGATAATGTTTTGAAAAATCAAAACCTGGGGTATGAGAAATTTTCAAAAATTATTTTCCGTCTATGACATCGGCGATATATGCAACCTTGATTTTTCATTGAACATCATAAGATAGTGTAATTGCGTCATATTGTGAATATTATAACAACAATTTATTTTTTCATCCGTCTGATCACAATATAATTTTTATTTAAAATTTCTTATAATTAAGATAATAAATATCATTCATGTTCCATATCGATTGATCGATTTACGTTTCGGAACATTTACACAACATGTTTCGGTTTTTATAAAACCATCATCAGGTGTAAAATATATCTAAGAACTTAAAACTCAATTATGATTTCTGTAGTTTTTTGGTGATGTTTCATTACGTTTGTTTTTCCATTTTTGGGCGAAGGTGTTGTTTTTCTTAAATGTTATTAGATGTACATATCGGCCAAAGATGTAGGAGTGAGTGTCCCGATGTGTCCAGAAGTACTAGTGTCTTCGAATAGGTGTGGGTCGATATGGAACATGAATGATATTTTATTATCTTAATTATAAGAAATTTTAAATAAAAATTATATTGTGATCAGACGGATTAAAATAAATAATTGTTATTGAACATCATGCTTATATATGGATCAGCTTTTTGACTGTGAAAGCGAAGTAGGAGGTATATGGGTGCAGTCGTCCTCAGAGTATTTCTGATTATAGAATTGATCGATTATATTATTAAGGGGCCAGAATTTATTACAACGGCATTGTTGATTTGCATTAAAAATTATGATACATAATACAGGGGTGCCCAACATTAAAATTACAAGTTTGTTCACATTTGTATTTTATGTTAGTTTCACAAAGATTCGTGTAAGTGTAAGTTTTGGATATCCCTGTAGTTAAGTGATTTCTTCAGGACATCCCCAGACAGAAATCGGAAAGTATTGTTCTAGTCATCTGACTGCGCTTAAGTTGCCTGCTTTCCTAACTGTCAAACACTGAACTGACAGCAGTTGAGTAAGGTGGCCTGAGTTAGAAATAGTTGCCATGTACCGAGATGTCTTCGCTAGCGAGAAACCTTTCGGCGTTAATAAGTGATGCGCTAGATGGCTGTCTGTCAGTCACACCCCACTGTGTTACGTCACCGTTACCATGGAGAACAATTGCAACAATAATTCATGGACATTTCCCACAAAATGCAGCCACGTGCAAGAGCGGAATAAAGATTTTTATTTCATTTGTAACAACAAATAGAACCCACAGAGATTACGATTACATATCGAAATAAATTAGTATTTTTATTCTTATTTAAATTTTGTCTTGGAAAATTTTAATAACTGTCACCCGCCAATAGCCTCTTACATCTTTTCAAGTGCGTAATACGTATAGTGTAGCAGTAAGTACATTGCATTTCTTTACAACTTCGCCAAGTATTTATGCTACCATTCACTGGCGCCGAATATCGTGATCAGATGGTTAGGACTCCGGCTTCGTATGCGGGAGATGACGTGTTCATATCTCGGTCCAGAGACCACATATCCTGACTCTGGTGTTATGTGATTTTCCTCAGTCTCTTAGAGCAGTGGTATTCAACCATTTTTTGTTCGCGTACCCCCAGATATAATTTCTTTTCAACTTTGTACCCCGAAAGTTGTTGCTGTATAATTCAAGTTATACATAGTATATAATCTACATCTAAAATAAATTAAATAAATTACATTACTGATTATTCAATGTTTATCATAAAATAATATATATATAATTTTAAATTTCACGTACCCCCTAAGATGTCTTCGCGTACCCCCGGGGGTACGCGTACCCCAGGTTGAATACCACTGTCTTAGAGTACGACCGCATCATTCCACATCCTTCGGTTCATTATTCACTAATCACTCTTATTTGACGTCTTTAATAAATGAAGAATAATATTATGTATTTCAGGTTCTCACGGCGATGTGAAGATGGCTGTCTTCTGGGATTTCGCGGCGTGTCGTCTGGTAGAAACTGACCAAAGTTTTAGGAATATTTACTTTTACAATCATTAGGGCGCGCTGATGATGTAGGCAGTAAGCACTTCTGAAACGTCGGCCAATTTCTACGGCAGAAGACAGCCATCTTCGAGAAAGAATATTTAGTTGCCTCTTCTAAATCACGAATTACCCCAGTTCGACCCTCATGTAAATAATGTGTACACCCCTCATCCAGCCGCTGTCTCGTCCTTCAAAGACCATGCTTGTCACGATTTTGTGGAGTCATGATACAGCCGCCATTCTTTTGTTCATCCAACGTTTGGTACAGCCACGCCACAGCGCACGGCAGCGCTTCAAATCGGCGCATGAGAAGCATCCAGCAAGTACCAGACTTTACCGGAATACCTAAACGTCTGCTTTCCGGCACCTATAAGAGTGGAAGTTGTGAACAGAAATTGACCACTGGGTTGTGCAAATATTAATTTATCGGGGCCCCTGACTTCGCGACGCACATCGAAACATCTGAATAACAACAGTTCC